CCGTACCGCGACCGGCAACGGGATCGCAACCCTCAGTGTTGCGCCCGCACCGCGCTCAACCAGTGAGTGGACCAGTCTCTATATGGGATCCGAACCCTCGGCGGGAGCGCCACCGCGCTCCCAAGCGCCACACTCTACCGAGTGCGCCACCGGGCCGGCCCAGCTTTTTTACTCTTGATTCATTAATAAATAGTGTTGTGATTCAGATTCCATAGTGAAAATATAATTCTGCAAGCAATCCATCAGGATGAATGTGCTCACTGTGTGATATTAAATGATGCCAATAAGATTACTGTAAAAACCAGAAGTCAAAGTACTTCGGTCATAGTAAACTCCTTATATTCTTGCTTCTGGCCTGTGCTAGGGCTCATTGTTAAATAGTTTAGAGCCACTCTAAGAACTATTTAGATTACATAAATGATACAGTTGTTTGGGGTTTTTTTTAACGTGACATTTTAAAATTTATTTTGACACATTGTAATTTACATACTTATGGGCTACAATCTGATATTTTGATAATATATATGTTATATAACGATCAGATCAGGGTAGCTAATGTATCCATCACATCATGCATTTATCATTTCTTTGGGACAAAAACATTCAAAAATCTCTCCTCTAGCTATTACATAATATATAAAATTTAACTGTTAACCATAGTCACCCTACCAGGCAAAAGAATACCAGAACTTATTCCTACAAAATTAATTATAATTTTGTATCTGTTGGCCAACCTCTCCCTACTCCCCTCCCCAGTCTCTGGCAACCACTGTTCTGTCTCTATAATATCAACTTTTTTTTTCTTTTTTTAAGATTCCACATATAAGTGAGATCATGTAGTATTTGTCTTTCTGTGACTGGCTTACTTTACTTAACATAATGACCTCCAAGTTCATCCATGTGGATGCAAATGAAAAAAATTCATTCTTTTTCATGGCTGGATAGTATTCCATTGTGTATATATACCACATTTTTTAATCCATTCATCTACTGTTGGACACAGGTTAATTTCATATCTTGGCTATTGTAAATTGTGCTGCAATAAACATGGAAGTGCAAATATCTCTTCAATATACTGATTTCATTTCCTTTGGGTATATACCCAGTAGTGGGATTGCTGGACCATATGGTACTTCTATTTTTAATTTTTGAGGAACCTCCACACTGTTTTCCATAATAGTTTACACTCCCACCAACAGTGTGCAAGTGTTCCATTTTTCCACACCCTCGCCAACATTTGTTTTCTTTTGTCTTTTTGATAATTGCCATTCTAACTAGAGTGAGGTGGTATTGCATTGTTGTGTTGATTTGCATTTTCCTGATGATTAGAGATGTTGAGCATTTTTTCATATATACTGGCCATTTGTATGTCTTCTTTCGAGAAACGTATATTAAAATCCTTTGGCCATTTCTCAGCTGGGTTATTTGTTTTTCTGCTGTTAAGTTCCTTATGTATTCTACACTTGATATTAACCCCTTATCATATGTATAGTTTGCAAATATTTTCTCCCATTCTGTAAGTTGTCTCTTCACTCTGTTAACAGTTTCCTTTGATGTGCAAAAGCTTTATAGTTTGTTTGACGTAATCTCACTTGTCTATTTTTGCTTTCAGTTACTGTGCTTTTGAAGTCTTATTTTAAAAATCCTTGCCCAGCCACATGTCGTGGACCGTTTCCCCTATGTTTCCTCTTTCATACTTTGAGGTTTTACATTTAAATCTTTAATCCATTTTAGTTGATTTCTGTATATGGTGAGAAGTAGGATTCTAGTTTCATTCTTCTATATGTGGATATCCAGTTTTCCCAGCATCATTTACTGAAGAGACTGTCATTTCCCCAATATGTATTCTTGGCATCTTTGTCAAAGATCAGTTGGCTGCAGGTGTGTGAATTTATTTCTGGGCTCTGTATTCTGTTCCATTGGCCTATGTGTCAGTTTTATGCCACACAGTTTTGGTTATTATAGCTTTGTGGTATAATCTGAAGTCAGGTAGTGTGCCTCTAGCTTTATTCATTTTTCTCAGTTTTGCTTTAACTATTTGGGGTCTTTCTGGTTCCATATGGACTTTAGGATTGTTTTTCCTTTTTTTCATTTAATTTTAATTGAAACATACTCTGACTTTGTATATTGATTTTTTATCCTGAAACTTTACTGAATTCGTTTATTAGTTCTAACAGCTTTTTTGGTGGAGTCTTTAGTGTGGTCCCCTTTATTCTGGAGACCACAATTTCTTCCCACAAACACACCAGTTGAGAAGTTCAGGAGTGTGCAACTGGGCCCAAGAGGAACTGACATGGGAAAGCTGGTCTATGCCTATCTGCAGACTATTCAACATGGAACTGTTTCCTACTCTGTGGACTACAGAAGCAGGGGATTTGTACATTTCCCCTTTAGTTTACACATTCTCTGCTAGATTTCTTCCATCCGCAAATAAAAGAACCCTAACGAACAGAAATATTTTTCTAATGAAGTTTTATGTAAATGATTTACCTAACCCTTTGACTCGCCTCAACCAAGAGTAAAATTCAGACTCTGAAGTCAGGCTTCATTTTCAGAATAAATTTCACTCTATCCCATGTAAGAACCATGTGTACTTAGAGTATAATGTTAAGAAATATCATATTACTGAATATTTAATGGCTTTTTCATTCAAATAGCAAAGAATTCTATTAGTGGGTAAAATAGGTACACTTGGTAATATAAACGTATGAATAGATGATGGTTTCATCATAGCATAATGAGACTTCACTGTAGCAAATCATCAGGTATGTAGTCAAACTCCATGCTATCTCAATATTTAAAAGTTCTACTGTACCTTTTATTTCCTTGCAATGGTGAGGTAAAACTACATTGATATTGGTGAAGAGTATCCTAACCCTAGGAATTTGGGAAATTTATTTTATTTTTGGACTTAAAAACTATCATTCATAGGCCTCCTAATTAGGTGAGGAGCATCCAAATGCAAATAATATGTAAAGCAGTTTCTAATGCAAATTTCCTCTGAAGAACATAGCCAAATGTTCCAGGTTATGATACAACAACTTTAGAAACTTAGGGACTGAAAACTCTCAACAGGTATTCTGGTATGCTGATAGGTTTTTGTCTTTGTTTTTTGTTGTTGTTTTGTGTTATACAAGAGTTCCTCCTTTTTATCCTTGTTTTACTCTCTTTGCATGAACTAAAGACCCACAAACACATTAATGTTACAATGTAGGCATTTCACCTGTAGGAGAAAAATCACTTCATAGTAATTTGGGGAACAAAAAAACCCTTACAAATTTGGCAAACTGGTTCCACCTTTTTCTTATTTGACTGGCTAGGATATTAAGAGTATAATATAAAGTTACAACTCTTAAAATAAAAATATGGAAATTTGATATGAAAAGAAAAAAATTCATTTATGAGCCAGCAAATACTTTTTTCCTTTGACACTCAAGAATATCAGCAGAGGCAGTATCAATTTCAAATAAACAGGAAGACTATTCAAACTGATAAGGCCCAATAAATCAAAATAAAGATACTGTAACTGTAAATTGGAGATTAAGGTGATTATATCAACTATGTACTCTCATATACTGTTGGATTTGGTTTTAAATGAGCTGAAAGAGAGTTTTAATTAAAATATATAGAGGGGGTCATTGAGTATGTGTTACAAGGGTTTCTAAGGAGACTGCTTGCTATTCTAATACAGCACAGTATTTGCTGAAACCTAATTAATTATGCTTGGTAATCACAGATCTGATATGTGTATTTTCTACAACAGGGGAAACTGATATAAATTGCTGACCTCCATTCCCACTTGAACTTCACAACTCTTGGATACAGAGTGGAAAACTACTCAACTGGAAACTAAAAATGAAAGTTTAATGAGGCAGAAAAATCCAATGTTTTACTTCAGGAAAAAGAAAATAATTTTCTCCCTTAGATGGAATGCTTTAAAAATATGTTCCCTAATCTTTTCTGTGGTCTATAGTTTATATTCTAACAAACTATACTTCCAATCATTATCAAGATTAATATTTAATATTATTTATTGATTACTACCATATGCAGAGCAGCTTGTAAAAGGATTCTGTCTTCCCTCTAGACAATTATAAATAGTTGCTCTCTGGACAACATCAAATTAGAAAGGCAGAAATTTTTCTTACATTAGACTGAAATTAAATAACTACAAGCTGAAATACAGGGCTGAGGGAAACAAGCCAAACCTTAAATCACAACCAAAATCCTCATTTATGATGAACCTAGGCCTTTGTCTTAAAGCTTCCTTTTCAGAACTAGCTTTCTGGCCCATTTAATTTCTCTCACACTAACCACAGCCTAGTCACTTGGATTCTATCTCTTCTCTGCAAAATATTTACAGACCCTTCCCCAAAGTAGCTGCTCCCCAGGCCACACTTTGCCTCTATCATATTTTAAAGAATGCCATATACACTGGTCTAACCAGATTCTGGATCTCTCCAGGACAGCCCAACTTTGAAGGCACCTGTGTTCAAATGCTGACATAAAGAAAGAAAATAAAGAAATGCCCTTTAGCACAGCATGGTTAATATGCAATCCTACTTAAAAATAGAATGCCTATCAGACTATTCCCAGGAGTCTTTCATCTCAATAAGAGTATTAAATAAAAGTGAGTTTTCCCGAAGTTTAATTTACTTATACTAATTTTATCTTATATGAAAGCTCGTTTCTAAATGACTTTCAAAGTTACTATTTTAGCTTTTAGGTAATAAAATCACTCAATGAATCTTTATGAAATATTTTTAGTAGAATTCATCATCTAAACAAAATGCTGACAAACCAGTCATACAAACATTGAGTTAAATAATTACTTAAAAGCTTATTTAGGGGCTGGCTGGCTCACTCAGTTGGTTAGAGCGTGGTGCTGATATCACCAAGGTCCAGGGTTCAATCCTTGTACCAGTCAGCTACCAAAAACATTTTTAAATACCCCCAAAAAGCTCATTTATATTCTCATTCTGATAATCACATATTTTTACCTTGAGGAGGTATGTGGGAATATTGCTGAAATCCACCGGCAACTTCAAAAGGAAACGAGCTGAAAATTCACCAGTCTGTTGAAAGAATGGTATAATAACAAGATTAAAATCAAAAATAGATTGTGAAGTGACAATTATAGCCAAGGCCACAAGTTCAACCTGTTCAAAATGCAGGCATCTTCAATTTAGATTTCCTAACATTAGGTAAGAAAAGAAGGTCAGAAAAGTAGAGGAAGATCAAAAAGGATTCTTAAATTGTTAGTTATTAAAATACACAATTTGAAATTTTAAAATCTGCATTTTAAATGTACAATAAAATTATAATGCAGTAGTATTACGTTTTTGTTTCTTATGAGTCTGAAAAGAATACATGAAAGTAGGATTTTTTTTAAAAAATCCAGGCAAAAGGAACAGATCTACTCCTTTGATTCATTTGCTTTTATTAAGGCATTCAGACCACTTCACTAATATTTATAACCCACAAGACTGATGACAAGTATCACCATCCTTTACAGTGTGTCTGGAAGTAATTACAAAGGTCAAATTTCTACCCATGTAAAGAGGAGTATATCAGTGGGCACCCTAAATAAGTTTCCAATCTCCTGACAGTCCATTAACATCATTATAGGTTTCATCATAAAAATTGGGATCATAAGGCTGTGTGTGTCCTTTGATGGGAGACTCATAACCAATAAAAACAAAACAAAACAAAAACAAACAAACGAAAATAACATCAATGTACTCTAGTGGTTTACGTACACATAATAACTTATATGTTTTATTAGGTCACTCTATAAAAAAATAAATAAAATAATAAAAAATAAAAATAAAAGAGAAAATTCACATAAAAGATAAAAGTTTCCCTCTCAATTTTTATGATGCAAAAGGCGAGTAATCACATTTCTTTTTCCTTTAGCTTTGCCATAGTCTAGAGGAGGGGTTTTCCAACTTGGCTGTGCAGAGACCTAAGGGTACCAAGCAACCTCTGCAAAGGCAACAAAGATGTGTGCGGAGCTGCTCCTCCCTCTCACTGCAGGCGTACAGCCCAGCTTGGGATTTTGACATAGTGGGTTTCACTATGACATGCCTGAACAAAGAACTCCAGGGATAATCTAGAACTACTTAAAGAGTAGATCTCTATCCCTTTCATATTGTGACTACTAAAGAGCTCACAATATCTTCACTGCCTTCCCCCTTTTAAAAAAAGAGCAGCACAAACTCCCCAAAGCACATCTTTAAACACAGCAAGCACTTACAAATATTTTTTATAGGTGGGTGGATGGACGCACAGAAGCACGCAAGCAACACCTCTTACAGATGATTCCACAACCATCACCATTGCTGTCTACAAACACTGGAGCAGCTGGCTTCAAGGTCCTGGTCCTAATTTTAAAACTCTGACCTAAAACCTTTAAAATGCAGACAGAAATATAAACCTTGAGATCAGAAAATAACAATGATAACCAACATCTGCCTAGTTGTTTGTTGTTTGTTTTACCACTTACAACATCTTTTAACTTACATAAACCTTTGGCTAAGGACAGAGCATTTCATCACCACAGCCGAACCCTGTGACAGAAAAGGCAGAAATGAGAACTGAATGAAGAGAATAAAAACTTAAGCAAGCCAGAAAGAGACACAGAAGCCACTGTACCACTAGGAATGCCAATGGTGAGATACAGGACTGATGCTCAGAGCTAAGCAGCTATTCTCTGTACTGAACGCCATTATGTGCAGGCTACTTACAACCCAACACTTGGGAGAATACTTAAGGGCCACAAATAGTTCATCATGGTGGATGGGAGAAGGTTTGTGAGAGCCCAGTATAATTTTTGCCTTCTGTTATAGTCCAAGATAAGCAGAAAGATGTGGTTTTGGTGTTATGTTAAGCTCCCAGAGGACTCTAAACTAACACACCCTGTTAAATTTGGTTCTTTGGCTCAAGATGCAGCTGGGCTAAACGAGCCTGTATGTAAGTACAAGGGGTCATGCCTTTAAAGGGGTAAGAAGAGGCGATGTATAACAGTATAGAGTTAAATGGGAGCTTACAAGAGGGGCGCCTAGCCCAGTGGGAGTTTGGGGGAGTGGAAAGGAAACCAGAAAAGTCTTTCCTTAGTGCTTTGTACAGTGCTATAGAAAAAGGAACACTCATCATAGTCTACATGTTCCCAACAGCTGTCCCCATTCTCTCTCTCTCTCATATAGTCAATTTTTCAATTTTCCCTCTTTATTCACTCTCTCCTATCAGCATGCAAACATCATTTTTTAAAAAAGTCTTCCTTGACTTCACACCCTTCTTTAGCTCCCATCTCATTTGTTTCACTTTACAAAATAATATCCTGTAAAGAATTAGTCTATATTTGAGGTCCACATTTCCTCTTGTATTATTCTCTCTTAAACCCTCTCCAGTCAGCCTTTCCTGTCCATCATTCCACCCAAACAGCTCATCAAGGTCATCGCCAAATTTGATGGTCATTTCTCAGTCTTTATCTCAGTGTCCTATCACCAACAGTTTGACGCAGCTGATCACTCTTTTCCTGGAACATTCTTCACTTGGTTTCCAGGGTCCCAGTTTCTAGGGTCTTCCTTACGTCACTGGCCCTCCCCCTGGTCTCCTCAACCTCTGAACACTGGAGTACAACCAGACTTAGCTCCAAGACCCTATTTTCTTTATTTGGGTGATCTCATCCAGGCTCATGACTTTAAATAATATGTATATGCTGATGACTCCCAAACTTTATATCTCCACCCCAGATATCTTCCTAATTCAAATGTCATTTATCCAACTACCATGAACAAAAATTCCTGATTTTGTGCTCTTCCTTTGATATATGTTTTTCATTTCAGTAAATGGCAATTCCATTCTTTCAGTTTCTCAGGCCAAAAACCTCAAAAGCATCTCTCTGTCTCATCCCACATTCAAAGTGGCAGTAATCCTCTACCTTCAAAATACATCCTGAGGCCACGGCTGGCCGTGTATCTCAGTTGGTTAAAGTGTGGGGCTGATAATATCAAGGTCCAGGGTTTGGTCCCTGTACCAGCCACCATCAAATCCTGAGTCTAACCATTTCTTAGCACCTTCACAACCACCTGGTCTGAGCACCATTATCTCTAGCCTGGACAACTGCAATTGACTGGAACTGCTTCAGCCCTTGTTTGCCTGCAGTTTATTCTCATCGTCACAACAAGTAGAGTGATCCTTTCAACACATTAGTCAGATTATGATCCTCATTTGCTCAAAACTCTGAAATGGTGGAGATTAAGTTCCTTTATAGAGTAATCGGATAAGGTAACAATTGAGCAAAAATGTGAAAGAGGTGAGGAAGTAAACCATGTGGATCTGGAAGAAAATCATCCCAGGCAAAGAGAACAGCTAGTGTAAAAAGGATTGATGCAGGAGCATGCCTGCATGTTCAGGGAACAGCAAGAAGGTCAGTGTTACTACAGCAAATAAGCACTAATACTGATCAAAGGTCACCTGGAAACTCTCTCCTCCATAGTGAGCAATTTCTAAACCCCTATAGGATATGCAACAATAATTCATAAAATTAGTAAACACTAAAATGGCTACTACATGTATGTAGAACATTTGTTAAGTCATTCCTAGGGATGATGAGATAGGTCTTTAAAAAGTACTATGGGATTCAAAGAGGGGGAACAGTTGGAGAGATGATGATAAACTCAATTCATTTCTTCTTCATTTTCTATTTATAGAGGCAAACCACCTACCAATAAGTAGCCATTTCTATCTACTAGTATAAAATGTCAATCTGTAGGTTAAAATGGCAATTTTAAAACTTTTAGTTTATTAAGCTCAGTGGCTCTCATATACACATTTTTGAAAACAACAGTAAAAAAAAGTGAAATGTAAGATTTTAAAAATTAAGAGAACTCTTGTACATATAAGGTAATAAGAAAGATAATTACATATTTCGCACTTGGACTCATATGAACTGCTAGTTATTTTAGTCTATGAACTGCATTTTAACTATTTTCCCTACTTTAGTTTGTACAATATATTTTTATTCTACCAGCTATTTTAGACCAACATTCTTTTAAAAACTCTCAGATGATCCCTACTTTACCCTTTCTCAAAATGTTGATCCTAGAACTAATATAAATTTGTGTTTACTGGCAACAGGCTGATTTATACTACTAAAGTCATAATAAAAGAAATGTTAGTCCCAGGACTAATAAAAATTTGTGTTTATCAGCAGCAAGCTGATTTACACAACTAAAGTAATAATAAAAGAAACTTAAGACTATGAAGGGAATTTGTTCTACTGGAAACCACAGAAGTACTTTATGATCTGCAATTTTCAAACTCACCATATATTCTTTATTTTGCCATTGAAAGAACAGAGAAAACTTAGGACTTGTTTCTAATGGCCCTGGAGATGTTGGAAAATAAGACTCAAGAATTCAGTTTCCAGTTCTGCCACTGATTTTCCTTGTGATCTATAAGCTAATCTGCCCCTGTGAAACTGATCTTAATGTAAAATTTAAGTTCTAACATTATGTGAGGAGCAAAACACAAGTGAAAAATCCTTGTTCTACCTCAGACAATGACTTTTTCTGTGTTTTTCTATTTGAAGTTCCAACAGTTATTCAAGCAATTTACGGTCACTCTGTTGTAACATCAAAGATTGCTTCCACAGCAATCTTTCCTGTAAGCTGAAAATGAGACATTTAGATGCAGCCAAGTGAACAGAATAATTTGATTTTTTTTTGTCAGTCCTTGGTCAAATCTTCTCTTGGATAGATGTAGAAAATTATCTGACCTATGACTGTTAAAATGTCAGCCTTTCTGCCAACTGCCTTAATGGCAATTTCCCCAGCATTAGCAGTAAATATGTGCATCCTTCCTTTTTTCAAGTTATAGTACGTTGGCAAGTAACTTAAACTAACAAGACTCTGAGTTTTGCCAATTTATTAGGTCTAAGCTTTTCTTCTGGTAATAGCAGCTGTGTCACAGTTTTTTTTTCTCTTGGAAGCGACAGGTAGACATCTTGTGCAGAACAGATTCCAAACTCAGGTTGCTGTGTGAGAGGAAATTTTACTTCCTTTCTTAGAGA